GGTATGGCGCCGGCTACTTGAATTCTCACCGGGGTGATTTGGGGACGCTACACAATTCTGTTTCCCTTCTGATTTGGGGTCAGCAACTGCGAAGCAATGGGCTGTGACCGAGTTCTTTTTCATCCCTTGCTCCCATTGTGAGAGATTCTTTGTTACAACCATTTCGTGTAGAGTATCATATTTGGTCATCCAAGTGGCAAAAGTTATTCTACTGTGCACATAGAGTGAACTGGCATGCGAGTAGAACTGAAGTATTACTTTATGTGAATAAATATCAGCAAAAGCATGAAAAGGTCATAAAACGTGAGAAAACCACAGCGAGAGCATTTTCTAGTCCTTAAGGGAAAAATTCTATATAAAGCACAAATTCCTTCCTCCACAAAACCCAAACCCTAGTATCCCGCACATGAAGCGTACGCTTACCACCACACCAAGCCGCCGTTGAGAAAAAATGCGCATCCATGCAATTTAAGTTCTCTTATGTTAAGCTCCCTGAAACCACCTCATTACTCCGTTCACAGAAACGCTCGGCAAATTTGGAAAGCAGATTTGAACTCAGCATCCAAAAACACGTCCAGCAGTGTAGGTCTTATTTCAAATGGCCACTTCGACTTGGGACCCTTCCCTGGTTAGTTTGGTACAGTTGTAAGCCGATTTTTCTACAAGCACTGTCCCACTCGGCCAGCATTTCCGCAGCTCGATGTTCGCTGTTATAAGCATGATATCGTCTGCAAGCGGAGATGATGTAACTAGCGACCGTCGACCTTCACTCCTATGCCTTCCCATTCCATTGATGCAGGGTGTTCTCGAGAGCGGCACTGAAAAGTTTGATCGAGATGATATCACCCTGTCGAGCTCTCCTACCTCTTCACGTTGATGATATAATATAATAACTTCTTTATAGGATGGTGAGATCCTGACTGTGAGGTTGTTGTAGAGCTCGCGAAGCATTTTCCATATCGAGTAGGAACACCCTTGTTTTTCAGGGCTTCAACTACCGCTTCTGTCTCGACGGTATCAAAGGCCTTCTTCAAATCGATGAATGTAAGACATAACGGCGATTTGTTCTCGCGATACTTTAACCCATTGACGACCATGTTTTCAAAAAAAGCGCCGCGAGGGATCAGCGCGCTTTCCGTCCTTTCGCGACTGCAGCCCACATGTGGACTTCATGATCCAGAATGATCATTTTCTGATGTTCATAAGAGGAATTATAAGTTTTTCGGAATGTTCCTTCGAATGGGATTGGTAAGAATGCCCACACTCAGTGATTATTGATCTTTATTATAGAAACGGCATTCGTTCTAGTGGTCATTCAGTCAGTTATTATATTATATCATATAGTCATGAGTTCAATCATTACCAGAAATCGTTTAGGGGAACTTTTACGAACTTTGCATTTGGTCGATAACAGCGGAAATGCTAACGACGACCGTATTTTTGAAATTACCCTAAAATCCCATAGATAAGAGCGGGTGAGCCTACCGGTGAAAAATGAATTGGAAAAAATCGAAATTGAATGCAGTCACCCCTCTAACTTGATGGATGGGTAAATTAAACAACAATAAACAATTCATATAAAAAAACAGCGATCCGTAAAAATCGCTGTTTTTCTACATGAATTGATTATTAAGTGGGCGGGTTTTGAGTTGGGGGGCGGAGCTTCTTCTTAACTTCTTCCTCGAGGTTTAATTTACCCATCCATCAAGTTAGAGGGGTTACTGCATTCAATTTCGATTTTTTCCAATTTATTTTTCACCGGTAGGCTCACCCGCTCTTATCTATGGAATTTTAGGGTATATTCATTTTTCGAGGTTGTTTAACGAACGAAGATTTCACCAAGGTAATGTACCCTTTCGAAAAAACACCTTTACAATTGCAAAATTTGATGATTTTGTAGGACCACGCTGCATGTAGTTTCATTTAGGCCTGATGTAATGTTTTGAGAAGAAAATTTGTAAAAAAAATGGAAATATAGATGAATAAAACAAAAAATACAACTGCTGCCCACATGTGGACTGCACGGTCCCATGCGGCCGAAAAAGTGCATGGTCGTCAATGGGTTAATGAGTCTTGTAATGGTTTGGATGTGATCGATTCTACTGAACCCTCTCCGAAACCCTGCTTTTCCGCACGCTTGTCCTCCATCCAATATCATGCCAATCCTGTTTAGGATGACGCGTGTGAAAAGCTTGTAGATTATCAACAGCAGACAGATTGGACGATGATTGCCAATATCGCCGGGTCTGCCTTCTAGTACAGCAACATAGTCTTGCTAGTTTCCCACAAGGTGGGCACTTTGCATTTCGACGGTATTGCAAGAAGAGCGTCACCAGAGTGGAAGACTTCTCAGATGTTCTGGTTTGATCCTATCGGGACCGTGTGCCGCACAATTCTTCATCGACGTGTACAGAAGGGAGAACCGCTGGAGCAATATATTCATTTTGCTCAAGATGGTGAGTAGGCAGGTGGACATGGCTGTCGAAGAGATCCAGGTAGAAGTCGTAGATGACCTTCTCCACTGCTCTTCGAAATGCAGTAACTGTTCCGTTAGAATGACGGAGGGGATATCTTGGTCTTGCAGTTGACGAAACTCCGTCGGGCTTTGCGAATGCTCTGTCCAGCCTCGGCGGCTTCGTCCATGACTGCTGCTCTTCTCTCTTTCAGATCTTCTTTCATCACTTCTCTGCGTAGCTTCGCAAGTTCGTACGTTTGTTGATGATTGACTGCAGCTCGCGCGATTTCACACTGGCGCATCAGTAAAAAGTTTTCGAAGAGAGCCGTCTCTTGGCTATTTGTAGACTCTCGCTTCCATAGCACTGTAGCGGAAATGTTCGACGTGCCGGTTGTATTCTTCGTCAATGTTGTCGGTGACGGAATCTTCCCATTCACTTGCAGCGCGGAGGAGACGATGGTCCGATCCCGTGTAAACTTCGGAACAACAGTGACGTCAGTCCGGCAGTTCGATTGAAGATGATGTGATCTATTTCACTATGGAACTGTCCTCCAAGTGACTCCCATGTCCATCGAGAGGATTTCTGAAGCTGGGTTACCATGAGTGGTGTGAGCAGACATGATTAACTCGGACAGCCTTTCACTCTGTTCATTCCATTCCATTCCGTGAGTTCCAATGTGAAGCTCTTTAGACGTTCTTTTGGGGCCAATCTTGGCGTTGAAGTCACCGACGATGACCATGAAGAAAGAATGGCCCTCCCTGTAGAGTTCCTCTAGGTTCATATAGAACGAATCCAGCTCTTTTTCATCGTAGCTCGATATTGGTGTGTAAACAACAAAGATTGTCAGAGCTTGGGTTGAGTCACATCTTTTTAATCGCAAACGTCCGATTCGGGTTGTTAAGCTCTAGTACGAATCGAGTTCATGGCCAATTGCATGTTGACGAGGACACCTACGCCGCCGACGCCTCTACTGTCGCATGCTCCAGGGAACAGTTTTTCTCCAGTCTCAAATACAGCGTGTAGCGGGCGATGTCTTCTCATTTCTGTTAGTCCGACGACGTCGTACTTGATCTTCCTACCTTGTATCATCAGATTTTCCATACACGCTTCCGATGCAAGCGTCTGTGCGTTGAAAGTACAGATCCCAATCTTAGTTCTTCTCCTTTTGGGCAGCCTGTTTTGGCCCTGAGATTGTAGTAGCCCTTTCCGAGCCTTTTTACCCAATGCTGCCGTATTGGGGCTCCCTCAGGCTCAGTGGATTAAGGCCCATTTGTATTAGTTTTGGGCAGGTGGACACCCAACGTGTAGCTTGCCAGGCTCCGACGTGGGGGCTAGGTTGACTCTGGAGGCTCGCCAGGCTATCCCGGAGTGGACAAAGGGCTTCGTTTTTGGAGGAGGCCCCGAATCGCCTCTCAGATATTTCCTAGTCGCTCGAATGGAAGCTTTTGGTCGAGTCGGTGGGCAGAATACCAGCTGCACCCACGGACCCTCCACACACGTATGCGTGAATACGCCTGGGAGAAACAGAAGGTATATCGACCAGCACAACAGAATCAGAGAGTCCATCCCCTGAATTCACCTGCGTCTCTGGACAAGTGCTGGCAACTTTTGGTCAGCGAATTACTCCCCTATCCGCCACCTGCGGACGCCTTAGTAGCCTCGTAGCCTCCTCGTTAACCGACTGTGATCCGTTAGTGAAAGAGGAACCTTAGCGAAGGAGATCCGTAGTTCGCCACGTTATTCTCTACTATTTCGAGAAAGGTTGGAAGGTGGCAGTGTTATTTTGCGATCTTAACAAACTTTTCGTCGATGGAACAATCAAGTAAAGTAAGGAATGGGAGCTGCTCTTGAATCAGCCATATTCATCAACCAACTCCTTCGGGTTATCACGTCAACCGCTCATTGAAAGATTGGCTAGCGAACAGAACTTACGAAATGGCCGATGTCAAGGCGTGGATCGCTTCCAGTAATCGAAACTTCTCCGCCTTAGGAAAACGACTGCTCAGCAAATGGGAAGCAGTGCTTGACGTAGATGGGGGTAGGACAAATATTTAAACATGTTTTTGCTCAGTATTTATAAGGTCACTTCGAATATAATTTGTCTTAAAAAATCCGCAGTAGTTATACATAATCCTAATATAAACGTAACCGAGAATGGCCCGCTCACGTGGCACGTTTGAAAGAGAACCAAAGGATCTCCCGGGTAACGAATAGGATCTCATTCCGTCACAGAGGAAGCGCTGGGAGGTTCCAAATATGTAGAGGTGGGCCGGCTACGGTGAATATGCTTGGTCAACAATGGGGAAGCGAACACGACCAGAAGACTGGCTCACAATCAGTTCGACTTGCGTGAATCGCGTGTACAAGTCGGATACAGGTGATATAGGTGATTATTGTTAGAGAGCGCCCGGAAACAATGACTCAGGTGTTTAAGAACACCAAGAAGACATGTTGTTCGACTATAGTTTTATGGGTAAGACTTCAAGCACATGGCTGCATTCAAACTGCTCTTCATTTCCCAAGATGGGAGAAAGCTCGTTTTCCAATTCCTTTATGCTCGCATAAGTACTCTAAGGTTGAACTAAGTTTTGTGACAATGTTTTTGTGACTCAATTTCTCTTAGGCTTTTCTCTTTTTGTCCTATCACTACAGATTCTCTTTAAAGGCACAGTTTGCGATAAAAATGGTTTCTGAGTTTTCCCTCTAGGGATCCAGCGGCCCCCAAGGGTAACAGGAGGGACGCTGTCGAGTCCCAAAACTCAACAGCTAGGGCACAGTCCCCGAGTCCCGAATCGCTCGAACTACCCGCCCCTCGATCAATGTCACGTCAGACGAGTGTCGAGGAAATACAGATTGCACCATTAGCTCTGGGACCCACACATAATCAGCTGATCGCCGAGTGGAATAGCGATGTTTTTTCTATTCTATTATTCTCTGTTATTCTTTTTGCTGCTGCGATCCCTTACTTGATTATATACCTCAAGAGGCCAAAAAATGTGGCTTTTTGCTGGTACTAGTTTTTGTTAACATATGATTATGAGTAAATGAATTTTTGCTTACCATAGTCAACTACTCGCCCCTACCAGACCCACGCGTACGCAATGACGCACATTGTATAGCTCGTCCAAACAACCATTTTTCTCCATTTTTCTGGTCCCATTCTCGTCCAGCCCCCTTTTTAACGGTTTTTCGAAATCTTTTGCTTTTTTCTAAACACGCAGTTTCTTCACCTTCATCGCACTACTATTTTCCATCCTATCTTCCATTTTTCGTCATTATCTGGCTTCTAAAATAATCGTGAACTGTGCTTTTAAGGTGGAATGATACAGGTCGCCGTAGCTGATCAAGATTAGATGTAGACTATGTATTTGAATGCTGACCCCAAATATGCGAAACTCCACTGTAAGCCAAGTTACGGGAGCATCAACTCGGAAGAGTAGATTCTTTTGTAAGCATGTCGAGTCATAACGTTCGATGTGAAGTGATTGCCAGGAGGACGATGAACGAACAGGCGTAGTTCCATCTCTCATTTACTCATTTTGCTTCTTCTTGCAATGTCTGTTGAATGCTTGTTTGACAACATTATTCCATCACTATCTGTAGCCTTGACTTCTCCTTGATGAATATTAGAAAAGGTTTCTAGAGAAACGTTCCGTCCTGGCTTCTTTTTGCGGCAATGAGATAATGGACAGCCTCACAGCGACGACCGAACCCGTTTTGCGATACGCCCCGCTTTTAGGTTCCATTCAGAACCGCGAAGGCATTCCAAACGCGTACGCGGACGGCCCAGTATTGGAGGTTAGCCGATAAACAGGGCGACCCTGAGTTATTGCGTTTATTCATCGTAATGTATTGAAAGCTGGGAACGACAATGAAATCTATACACACGTTTGTTTGCTTACATTGAACGCAACAACGAATCATTGCTTAATCTTAAAATAACCCTCAGAGCACGGAGAGGTCCCTGTCCTAGAAAACTCCTCTCATATCGCTACTTTATTCTTGAGTCTTGCGCTTAAGGACTCCAGGCTGAGATGGGAAACTCGACAGATTTCTTTTTCAATTGAAGACCAAACAGAGATACCAAGTGGGTCATGATATGGTAAGCAGTATAGCCATTCCTGAGAGCTAATGTGGCCGGTCAGCTCCCGTCGGCACACCTCTCAGACGATCTTCGCTCTATGGACCGTGGAGCCGTCTTGTTGGTGGTGCCTTGAGCTGTCCCATAAAGGGGAATTGAATCAAGGCCTCAATGCGTCACCGTTCTATTTATTTATGATTGGCTCTACCGTGAAAATTCTCTCGCCATAGGGAACGAAGGGATGTTTGTCTCCGCTGAAGCGGGTCAGCAATATCCTGCGTTTTTAGACCTCATACCGTCTACATTTGCACTTAAACATTTACCTGACAATCAGCCTGACCAACGACTTCAATAGGTCCACCCGTTGTCATCCTTTTGATGGATAACTCAAAATTAAGTCCGATTCACGAAAAGATTATTTCGATAGTCCTCTCTTTCGAAGACACCGGTCTTTCTACCATTTTCGGATGTCCAGAAAGGACCCTACTTCTCTGCATCGTTTTGAAGCTTTTTGTGCGCTCCTTAGTGAAATTACAAAATTTTTACGATGATCTCTCTTCCTTTGTATACGAATTATGATGAGTCGCTTTTCTGCTCTCTTGAAGATATTAGGAGTCTCATTTCAGTGATTGTGCGGATTTCAAGAAAACTACCTGCAACAAATGACTGGCGAATAAAATGAAGTTAATTAGTGTCGAGGGAGTTTTCTAAATTTTGCGCCTAAAGTTTGAAACAGCCGCCAGAGCAAGTATCCTGCGTTTTTATCCTTAAGTTTAGAAACCAGAAGGTACTTTCTCTACTAAAAGTATTCAGTGAGTTGTGAAACAGCTATCATATGCCAAAACTAAGCAGAAAGTAGACCTTTGCGTTCTTCATGTTTTATTGATCACTTTGACCCAGTTTTTTTTAAACGGACGAGTTTAGTCGTGCGCCATCTCTGAACGATAGATGTTTTTGAACTGAGAAGTAGCAAGTATGAATTGGTCTCTGGTTCCAGAAAATGATATAACTGTACTTCAGAAATAGTACTTTCCTATAGCTTGCAAATTGTATGCCTGAATTCAAGAGTAAAAGCGATTTTGTCGTGTGAACTCGGTTTGTGCATATTTTCACGGCGAACATAAGATTTCCTGCTTTTTCAAGTAAGATTTTCAATATTCAGGAGAAAGTTACGCTTATCATGGGGTCTGGATCCTCCGGCTCCATGAATAGCTCCCGAT